ATATATGAGCAATACTATATGTACTCATTACGTCTTATGAATGCGTATCTGCATGTTGTGCATACATAATATATAGTTACATATACATATGCATAATAAAGAAGAATAGGTCATGAATTTGAGAGAGAGTGGAAGGCATGGGAGGCATTGGAGGTGAGAGAAGGAGGGGTAGAAATGATGTAGATTCAGAAGTCATAAAATGAGATTATCAAAAAATTTAAGGTAAAATACATTTAGTACCAAATGAATAATTACAAATATTTATTATGTGGAATCTAATCTTTGTAACATATACACATTACAAAATAGCCAAATTGAACTGGTAAACATTAATTGCTTGATGCAACTGTTGATTTTTCTATGGTGATAAGATCCACAATCTGCTCTGTTCTGGTCTTCATATGTAGATGCATAAGAGCAACAGAAACTTGACTCAGTGGGTTATTAAAAAAACAAGGAGAGGATGTTTAGTCAGCAGGAGGAACTTTTGGGGAGCCCTGAGGAGATCTGGAAGGAGGTTCTGGGATGGATATGTTCAAAACACATTGTATACATGTATGAAATCTTGAATAAATTTAAAATATAAAAATAATGTGTCATCTCTCTCAAGCACTAAAATTATTTTGTCACTTGAACTGAAGCTGGTTCCTAGATAGTTCCTCCCATGATTATGTCCCAGTAATTTTGGAGCTAAGTTTTCCTTTAACAAGACCTCTGTAAAGACCCCATGGTCCTGACATAATTTATACTGACTTCTTGGCATTGCTCACAGACATTCAAATACTTTGTAGACCAAAAGGAGTCAGTTCCATCAGTTTTCGAAGTTAAACTCAAAATCAATCTCCTCCCAGAGATCAGGTTTATCAAGTTCACCCACTGTATAAGGATCTTTATGCCATCACCTGTCACTGCATGTCCGAAATAATAGCAACCAACCAAAACAAGCTTAACCCGGTTTTCTCACCAGCAGTGACCTAACTGTATTAGTTGTCTCATTACTGTGACAAAACATTGACAAAGGCAACTTAATGAAGGGAGGGCTTACAGTTCTAAAGGACACAGTCCACAAGGACAGGAAAGTACAGCAGCAGGTGCTTCAAAGTGGGTGGTCACACTGCATCCACAGTCAGAATGCAGTACAGACAGATACCTGTGTTCAGTCTCAGATGACCCCAGCCCGTGGGGTAGTGTCACCTGCCTTGAGGGTGAATCTTCCCCTCTCAGTCAAGCTGACCTAGATAACCTCTCACTGACAAGCCATGCTGATTCTAAATCCCACCAAGCTGATAATTAAGATTGACCGTCACATTAACCATCATCCTGCCAGCAGAAAACGCTGAAGCATGACCACACTGTTCTATATCTTTAGCGCATGCTATGTACTCTGTCCCCCATAAGTTCATTCATGTACTGGAGGCTTGGTCCCCAGTGTAGTGGTGATGAGGTGGCAGGGCCTAGGGACAAACAACCAAACGTGGGAACTTTTCCCATGTAAGCGGATTGATGGTGCTTTACTGAATTCCACCTTGCCATGTGACCTCCTCTATTTACACACTCACCACTGTGAAGCCATCTATGATGAGGTCTAACAGGAAAAGCAGATGCCAGTATCATGCTCTTGAATGGCTAGACTCCTGAGCTTAATAATACAGAGCATCCTGCCTCTGGTATTTTGTTATAGTAACACAAAGTGAACTGATGTGTAATCTAATGGGAAGTTGTTACTTGACTAAAATAAAATGTTGAAAGTAGATAGGGATGAAGGATGCACAAAATTGTAAGCACACTTTAAAAAAAACTGTGCTACTTGGACCCTACTGCTGGTGTATTCTAAGCACATGCTGTACCAATGACCTACATCCCCAGTCCAAGATCATGTGTGTACTTGATGCCATTAAATTGTACACTTAAAAATGTCCAGTGGTGACATACACCTTAAATCCCTGTGCTGGGGAAGCAAACGAAGGCAGCTCCCTTATTTTGAGGACAGCCAGATCTACAGAGTGATTTGCTGGGCAATTAGGGCTGTTACACAGAGAAATCCTGTCTTCAAACAAACAAACAAACAAACCAAAAACCAAAACCACCAAAATATCCAAAGGTAAACTTCATGCTATGTCTTTTTAACATACACACACACACACACACACACACACACACACACACACACTCATACCACAAATGCTGGTGTCATTGCTGCTGGCTTCTTTTTTGCTAGTCTTTGCTTTGAGATAGAATGTCACATGGCTGCAGCAAGCTATGAATCACTAATCACCTGACCTCCATCTCCTAAGTGCTGGAAGCTTCTCTCTGTGCTCTCTGTGAACAGTAGGTTTCAAAATGCTGCCCAATATTCAGTTTATGGCTCTGCCAGCATCTGAATTTTTTCAAGAGCCAGGCTTAGGTTTCCTGAATATTTTTTGCCATTCCTATGACAAGTGAAAAGGAGATTAGCTCCCCCAGTTGCTGTCTGTGTCTCCGACAGTTGGAAGAGATATGCAACTACTTAAGAGCTCAAGGGTATAGAATGGCTCGGGCTGGATGTCTGCAGATTTAGAGTTAGCCTGAATTGGTGTCTGCTTCCTTGTGCTCTTGCTAAGTGGGAGCTAGCAGGATCCTGATTTGTTAAACTTAATCCAGAATTATGACAACAAAACCTCAATTAGCTGCCAATACTTTGGACATCCTTTCCTGATTGATAACACCTTTTTCCTGTTAGCTCGCTACAGCCTTGTGACCCAAGGCTCTGGAATGGATCAACCCGCCTACGCCTGCACACAGCTCTGTGTCTCCATGGAAACAGCTTGTCAGGCCCTGCTTGGCTGCAGGTACTGAAGACCTCTCATTTGCAGCCTGGGTTCCACACAGATTTGGTCTTAACAATCTGGCAGGTGTTAAGAGCCCCATCCTCTCTAGCTGCCAGGGTCTGACCTCATCATGAAACCCCCCTTTGCATTGCACAGAAAAGTCCCCAGCCCCAGTGACATCCAGGTGGTCCTTCGGGGGGAATGGAAGGGTTTCTGTCCTAGGCCCCTCCCAACAGGTCTTCCCACCTCCCACCCACCAAAGCCTGGAGTCATCAGAATGCCTCTGTGCCTCCCCCACCCCCGCCCGGAACACCAGCTTTGTGCCTCTCAGATCCTCCTCTCTGCATCCCTGTTGCCCCTGGTGAGCCTGGACCACATCATTTTCTTTTCAAGGTACTGCAATTCCTCCACACTGGCCCTAGTACTACTGTGCATCCGTTCTCCGTCGTACAATCACTTTCTGGAAACGTAACTTAATATCATGTCATAAAAAGAGGCTTTGGAGGCTGGAGGTGTGGGACAGAGGGACACTGAATAACAGACACCAGTTAGGAAGCAACGATAACAGAACAGGGTGACTACAGTTTGCACAACTTACTCCACAATTACAAAGAGCTAGAAGAGAGAGGCCTTTGCAGGCTCCAGACACAAAGACATGACAGATGTCCAATATTGAAAGGCCAATCCTGTTGACTTGATATATGCATGTGTGGATTGAATCATCACACTCTACATTATAAATATAAGCAATTATTATATGACAATTAAATAGGTTAAAAATAAGGTATCAGAATCAAATGTCAGAACTTGATTACATCTATCATATTTGCTTCCCTTGTATATATTAATTCCCATATAATGCTGTGCAGAAGAAACACAACTTGAGTACTCCATGAACACTGAGATGTTCTGTACTCAGGCTGGACACTGTATGTTGGGTGTTACAGAAACAGAATTGACTATGAGCAGAGTCCTAACATTAACTTGTGACTTCCTCTAGGATTCTGATTATGTCTGGTGGGAAAGTCGGTAGGGTCGGGATGAAGCTGATTTCTTTTTGGAAGTACTCATCTCTTTTTAAAATTTATTAAATTAAAAAACCCCAAAGTAGTATTAATAAGAAATAAAAGAAGTAACTCATAATTTTCCCAATAAACATTTGTATAAAGTTTGATTGAAAACATGGTATGAGACTGGGACTTAAGGTGTGTGGTACATGTGTGAGGCTTAGTCCCTAGAGTATGGGGAGACACACACACACACACACACACACACACACACACACAGAGGCACACACATGCGCACATTCAAAAATCATCCAATGTCCTTCCTTTATACTAAGGTCGTTAGTGGTTCCCACTGCCCTAAGGTAGACTTCAGACCCTGTAAAAGACAGCAAGACCACGCCGTTATTGATTGAGCCAGCTCATTTCCCAGACACATCCTCTCTCGTCCTTCTCCCTGCACATTCTGACAGTGGCTGCTCATGCTCCTCCATGGCCTCTACAACTTGGCTCTACATCCTGCTCCTGGCTCTGTGGTATGTCCTCTTCTTGCCTGTCCTCATTTCTTTTCTGTTTCTGGGATAAAATACTTTGACCAAAAAGCAACGTATGGGGAGAAAATGGCTTTTGTTTTATTTTGTTTGGGTTTTGTTTTGTTAGCTCCCAATTCCAGGTTATAGTCTACCATTGTAGGGGGATGCCAGGCAGAAACTTGAAGCAGCTAGACACATTACATTCACAGTCAAGAGCAGAGAAAGCACGGACCATGCTTGCTTAGCTAGTGCTTGCTTGCCTGAGCTCAACTCTCTCTATATGTAGGTATTCTGTCCAAGACCCAAACCCAAGGAAGGGTGCTGCCCACATGCAGAGTGGGCCTCCCCCTAATGAATTCACTTAGGAAAGACCTGTCATAGGTGTGTCCGCTGACTAACCTGATTGTGTTAGTTACTTTTCTTTTGCTGTAATTAAAGCATCATGATTGGGATCTAGAGGGATGGTCCAGTGGTTAAGAGCACCGGCTGCTCTTCTAGAGGACCCGGGTTCAATCCCCAGCACCCACACGGTGGCTCACAACTATCTGTAGGTACTGTTCTAAGGAATCTGACACTCACACAGACATACATCTAGGCAAAACGTCAATGCACATAAAATAAAGATAGATTTTAAAAACGTGATTAATCCAACTTACAAAAGAGTTTATTTGGGCTTCTGGTTGTAGAGACATTAAGAGTCCATCCCATCAGGGAATCTTGGCAGCAGCTGTCGTTATGGTGGCAGAAACATCTGAGGACTCACATCTCCAACAGCAACAGTAAGCAGAGGAATGGCCTGGAAATGACATGAGTAAATTATACTCTCAAAGCCTACTCCAGGACATACTAAACCACATCTCCTGAACCTCCCAAACAGTACCAGACTGGGGACTAAGTGCTCAGGTATCTGAGCCTTTGGGGGATATTCCCATTCCAACCACCAGGCTGAGTTAGGGAATCTCATTAAGACTCCCTTCCAGATGTAGTACATTGGGTCAAGTTGTCAAAAGGAACCACGCTACCACCCTTTTGTATGACTTCTGGCACATTTTAGGAGGCTATGCTCTCAATGCTACAGTTTCCAGGGGTTGTTTGTTTGTTTATATGTTTTAAATGTCTCTCCCACATTTTCCTATTTACTTTTCTCTTAGAGACAGCAAGATGTGTACCTGCCTCTGGCCCAGCACCTGCCACAGTTACTCAGATGCCTGCTGCACAAAGGAGAGAATGGGTGAAGCCTCTGGAATAGAAATGTCACGCCACATTGATGGTGAACATATCCTGCCTCGGGGTCTTCTTTGGCTGGGTACCTAAGCTCTACCAGCCTAGCCCAGCTACAACTTAGTCACATGCCAAGGCATTGCAATATGGGCTGCTGGCCATGTTTGGGGATACTTCTGTGTATGGGCCACTGCCTCTGCTCACCTCTGCCTACCCCTGGCTGCCTCCTTGTTTTGTAAGCCACCTGGGAGGTCTATACCAACCAGCCTTGTGGGTTGAGCCCATGTGGCTAGGCCAGCAGCTAGAGAGCCATTCCTAAGAGCTGAGATAAGGAGGCAGACTTTCCCCTGCAGTCCTGGAAGATTCCTTTCTTGCTGGTGGTACAATTTCACCCAGGCAACACTTTCCTAGGGGGATCCAAAACCTGAATCACAGCCAGAGGAGAAAACAGCCAGCTGTCTCAGGAAGGGCTAGGACATGTTGAGTGTCTCCAGGAGACAGGATTGTTTTGTCTTGTTTTGTCAGGGGGCTTGGGGTTAGTGGGAGTGGTAAATAACACGTTCAGATATCAATCAGAGGGAGTGGGTGAATGAATGTGGACCCTTGTCCCAAAGAATACAATAGTTGATCTAGGGGAGAAGCCAAAAGTTGAGAAAAGCCTTTCACTAGAGGCAGGGCCCACCCACATGGGCACAGGGTGTGGCAGTGCATAGCTGCCTTGGGCCCCCATCTACTCACTTTTTCCTAAGTCATCACATCTTTCATCTTCTAGAAACGAGAAACCAACATTTGGCCATAGACGAGGATGAGCTGCAGAAAGAATGGATTTTGTTTCACTGTGAACAGAAGGCTAGTTCAGACAGGGGGCGGGGGGTAGCAACCAAAGGCTCAGCTCCACTTTCCCCACTGCAGTAGGTAAGCAATGGAGCCATTAAATGGGAAAATGTATGTGAAGGCACTTAGCACAGTGTTTGGCAAAGGCGTGGGGTTCAATAATATTGACGTGTTGGTTTTACGTCCACTCAGTGGCAGGACCTACAAGGCAGATTTGTGTGCAAAAAGGATGACAGGGGTACCAGGAAGGGTGCATCTCTACCTGGAGAGTTGATCAATTTTGCCATTAGATGTTTCTTACTTTGAGTCTATCAAAACCCCCAAACCCATCAGAGGCCAAAACAAACAAACAAACAAACAAAAACCTTTAAATATTTTCATTTTACTATTAAAGTTGATTATACTCCCCACCTCGCCCTCAGCAGTAGTGGAGATGACATAATTAACATTAAATATCATAGATGGGGTGCAAAATATTTGGTGAATTTGATACAAAGACTGGTCAGTCTGAATGATAATGCAACTACTCTTATAGATTGTACTATAAAACAGAGCCAAGCCTGATGACAAGTCTGGAATCCCAGCTACCTGGGAGGCTGAGGCAGGATGGTGGCTAGTTCAAAATCAGCCTCCGCTAATAGAGAGAGTTGAAAGCAATCTTTAGCAACTTAGAGATATTGTTTCAAAATAAAGAGTAAAGGGTTAAGGAGATGGCCCCATAAGTAGTGCTTGCCCTTTAACACCAGCGTCTGAGTTTGGATCCCTAGCCCCCATATAAAAAGCCAGATTCAGCGATAGCCCTGAGACAGCAGGACCCCTGAGTTTTGCTGGTCAGCCAGTCTGGCCAAATTGGGCGAGCTCCAGGTTCAGTGAGTGAAGTAGGTGGGGAGCAAAAGAGGAAGATATCTCCCATCAGCCTCTGCCTGTCTCATGTACACGCACCCATACCTACACATACACACGTGCACATATACATATCCAGAAAAAAAAAGTTTAAAAAAAAAAAGAGTTGAGAATGTGGTCAGTGATAGTTTCCCTAACAGGCATGAGGCTACAGGTTCAATCTCCATCGACGAAAAAGGAAGCTGTGTGTGTATGTGTGTGTGTGTCTGTGTGTGTGTGTGTGTGTGTGTGTGAACTTTAACAAGCCTGGCTTTCCAACAGACCTGAGAGCCACAGAGGAGGAGCAGGAGCCACCCAATCATCTTGCCTTGGTGCTATGAGGGTTTTATACCTAGATGCTTAGGAGTTGGGGAATGGGAGACAAGAACATGCGCCGACAGCTTAGTGAGGGGTAGAGGAGGAGGCCAAAGGCTGGCATAAATCATGGGCTCCTCTACAGAGGAAGCTCTTAGTGGGCAGCTTCTAACTCTACCCTGTGATTCTCAGAACAACCAGAACCAAGGACACTACAAAGAGTCCCTGCACGTGCCCAATAAGTGTGTGTTTGCTTATATGCCAAAACCAAGCTAAGTTCAGAACGAAACAAAACTGGAATTTGTCAACAGCTGTCACCTGCACCTTGCATGAGGCTCAGTAAAGCTACTGGATTAATATAAGCTCTGAAAGCAAACTTAGCACGACTTGTGTTTGCATTTCAACACTTCTAGTACTGCCACAGGGGCTAGCTCAGATAAGCAACAAAGAGAAAGCATTTTTGAGACAGGAGCTCACCCTGTAGTCCAGGCAAGCCTAGAATTCCCTGGATAGCCAAAGGTAGCCTCAAGTTACACATCACTGTCCTGACTCAGCTTCCTGAACACAGCAGCTATGTGTGTGTCACCAGGCCTGACTAAATAAATAAGAAAATCAATGCCTGCCTACACGCTAAGTTTCCAAACTCCAAGATGAATAAAGTAAAGAAAAAAAATGGGGGAAGCAATTATTCTCCTGATTGTTGTAACAAAGGGCTATCCTAAGTTAATACTTAAATACGTTAATAATTAAAAGGCAAAAAAAAAACAGTAGAAAAATAAGCAAAAGATTGGCCTTCCAAATAATAAGCAGAGATCCCTGTAACAATGAAAGAAATAGTTTATTGTTGTTCAAGTTCTGCCTAAGTGTGAGTTCTAAGCTTCCCAGTAATTTGAGCTAGATGAGATCTCTCAGTCAAGGTTGAAAATCTAAGAAACCTTTTTCCTGCATCAATCCCAAACTTAAATCTTTCAGTGTTAACATCCCCGACTGGGAGTGGAGATGGGAAAGAGCTGGTGGCAGCACCAGAAGGAACAGCCCAGCATTGTCTGGGCCTGGTAGACAAATGTCATCAGCTGAGGAGGAAGAATGTGGAGGACAGTGTCCCTAAGCTGCAGGTTGTTTCTCAGGGATAGAGTAAGCCTTGCTCTGCTTTCTGCAGAACGGCTGGAGTCTTTGGTATTCCACGTATGGTCCCTGCCTGGGCTAGTGGGACCTCCAGGGAACTTACAGATGTGCAGAAGACTGCCTTCCATCTGGCCTCTTGAACTGGAGTCTGCATCTCAGCCAGCTCCGAGAGGTGACTGCCTGAACAGACCTTACCATGACTAAACACACAGACCTTACAGTGCAGTGTAGGGCAGCCTCTGTCCAGCTCCCTTCACACAGGTGCTCTGCCACCACCGACAGGATGGAACGCGCAGGTGGTCTCTAAGGAGCCCTTCGAAACTAAATTGCTGGATTTAATGAAAAGTGTCACACTCAGCCAAGTCGAATGTTCCCCACTTTACAAAGGGCTCTAAGATTAATGAATTAATAAAGGTGCCATGGTGCTGTTGTTCCTACAAGTGAATTTAGAGTTCTCATTAGCATCCTTTCACTGGGCGTCTGGATAGACCCAGGAGGCATCAACTGGGATGACCCTGTCTCTCATGTACCCTTTGCTGTCCACCCCGCAGGAGGGAAAACATCGCAGGGTGTAATATCAACAGAACTGTGATGGAAAGACACACCTGCAGCAACTGGAGGAAAGATAACACGTGATCTAAGAACACTTATTGTTATTTTTCTGTCTAACACTAGAACAGTCCATAAGCTTTCACCTGGCATCATCCAAACGTGTGTGTGTGTGTGTGTGTGTGTGTGTGTGTGTGTGAGAGAGAGAGAGAGAGAGAGAGAGAGAGAGAGAGAGAGA